TTCTACGAACAACCTAGTAAACAAAAACACGGGACTTGTGTAAATCCGGAAACACTCACCAACATACGTAGCTATATGTGACTATTCCTACAGAGATATACACATACACATGAGAACAGAAAAAGAAACATAATTATTTTGTATGTCTAATTGTTTTACAGGCAAATATACTCTTTAGTGTGATATACTATTATGTCATAACATCTATTAACATAGTGACTTGGTAAATCTTTAATTTCACTATCAATAGAAATACAATAATACATAAATGGAATGGTGATTTTTTAAGTTGATATATTTCACACATTTGTATTGTCGATTTACCATTCCATATACCATTTAAACACACACATATGTATATATACTTTTTTTATATATACAACAACAACTACATCAGGTAGACTTGCATAAACTTTTGATTTTTTTTTTCTATACATACATGAAAAATATATAATATATAATATACATTGTACATGAAATACAATTTCGTGGTGATACAATTTCAGCATTTGTATCCATGCTACCGTTGGGGATTAGGAAATAAATAAATCAGACAGACTCATATAAGCCTTTTTTGATTGATTTTTTTTCTGTACATTTTTACATACAATATACATATACAAGAAAAATATACATGAAAAAACTAATGAATGTAGAATCCAGCTTCATGGTGATAGAGTTGATACACTTGTATCTTATATTAACCTGGCCATCATCATTTTTTCATGTAGACTTGCATTAGCCCCTTTTTGATTATTTTTTTCTTCTTCTAAAATCTAGTACATGAATATCATGTTTATATAAACTAAAACATGGAATTATAATTCTATAGAGAATATACTTTCATTATGATACTCTATGCACACTTGAAGCTTTTATTTATCGTTCAATTTCGCTTTCAATTCAACATTATTTTCAGATAGACTTGCATAGGCCCAATTATGCTTTTTTCCTTTGCTTATAATTAGGATACACAAATAATAGCAATAAATGGAACAACCAAATGTAAAGCTAATACCTCACATTCCTACATTCTTATACAGTATATATATAATTAATGAACAATATAACTATAATATTTTACAATTTATGCACACACTTTTTATAAGTAGATTCATCTGGCCATCACAATACTAGATTGCACGAAATATGTACATTATTATTATTACATTCAGCAAGTCTCTTTACACTGACCTGTTTGAGTTCTTTGTCAATAGTCCAACACAAACGTTAATCCTTTACCGAAAATTTGAATCGTCACCCAGGTAACTGTCTAATAGGGTAGTGTCATATGTTATTCTTCTTTTCTTTCCATCTTTTAGCTGGGCAAACAGTTTCCCATCTATACTATATGAATGTTTCACACAGTCAAGATTGAATATCGCTTTCAGTCTCTCCTGATTTCTCTTTCAGACATAATATAGGCACATTTCCTGACAGATAGTTAGCCACTCCACGGTTTATAAACATTTACAGGGATTAACAAATACAAGGGTCCCCCTAGCCTTGTTATTGACAGACAAATATGGGGTCCCCCTAGCCTTGTTATTGACAGACAAATATCAGGGTCCCCCTAGCCTTGTTATTGACAGACAAATATCAGGGTCCCACTAGCCTTGTTATTGACACACAAATATGGGGGTCCTCCTAGCCTTGTTATTGACAGACAAATACGGGGGTCCCCCTAGCCTTGTTATTGACAGACAAATATGGGGGTCCGCCTAGCCTTGTTATTGACAGACAAATACAGGGGTCCGCCTAGCCTTGTTATTGACAGACAAATATGGGGGTCCCCCTAGCCCTGTTATTGACAGACAAATATGGGGGTCCCCTTAACCCTGTTATTGACAGACAAATATGGGGGTCCCCCTAGCCTTGTTATTACCATGGCCAGGTAACAGAGAAAATACTGCTTGCTTTGTTATTAACAGACAAATACAGGGATCCCCCTATCTTTGTTATTTACAGCCTAATACTGGGATCTCCAATGCTTTGTTAAAAACAGACAAATACAGGGATCCTGCTTGCTTTGTTATTAAAAGAAAAATTCAGGGATCTCCTATCTTTGTTATTAACAGACAAAAACAGGGAACCCCTTAGCTTTGTTTTTAGCAGACAAATACATATCAGCCACTGAGTATGAGGGAAAAATACTTCCTTACAGGCAAGCCAGCTTTTCCAGCAATTTTCTATATATAGCGACTGGGTAGACCGAGTTTCCTCTGTCCCTGACACCAGACTTAGACATTTTGACAGCTAGATGTCTGGTGTGGGGCCAGAGCACACTACTGTATGAAAACGTTTGGTATCGGGGAGTGACTAACTAACAAAAAGACGCGGTCCGGAAATCTTCTTAACATCATTTTTAGTTCATTTTGGGAAAATAAGTCACTTTAAGTCAGGGGAAATAGCCTGTATTCGGCTGTAAAACTGAGCAAAATAAATCACTGAAAGGGGGCCTTTTGCTTTGTTATAAACAGACAAGTAAAGCATATACAATGCTTTGATAACAGACAAATACAGAAATCACCCAAATACTAATATAAGTACCCCGGACGCATTATATATTAAAAAAACTCTAGACATCAGAAAGCTACGTTATGGCAGCTTGAATCACCCTGGCCTTATTAACAAATACAGGAATCACCCTGGCCTTATTAACAAATACAGGAATCACCCTGGCCTTATTAACAAATACAGGAATCACCCTGGCCTTATTAACAAATACAGGAATCACCCTGGCCTTATTAACAAATACAGGAATCACCCTGGCCTTATTAACAAATACAGGAATCACCCTGGCCTTATTAACAAATACAGGAATCACCCTGGCCTTATTAACAAATACAGGAATCACCCTGGCCTTATTAACAAATACAGGAATCACCCTGGCCTTATTAACAAATACAGGAATCACCCTGGCCTTATTAACAAATACAGGAATCACCCTGGCCTTATTAACAAATACAGGAATCACCCTGGCCTTATTAACAAATACAGGAATCACCCTGGCCTTATTAACAAATACAGGAATCACCCTGGCCTTATTAACAAATACAGGAATCACCCTGGCCTTATTAACAAATACAGGAATCACCCTGGCCTTATTAACAAATACAGGAATCACCCTGGCCTTATTAACAAATACAGGAATCACCCTGGCCTTATTAACAAATACAGGAATCACCCTGGCCTTATTAACAAATACAGGAATCACCCTGGCCTTATTAACAAATACAGGAATCACCCTGGCCTTATTAACAAATACAGGAATCACCCTGGCCTTATTAACAAATACAGGAATCACCCTGGCCTTATTAACAAATACAGGAATCACCCTGGCCTTATTAACAAATACAGGAATCACCCTGGCCTTATTAACAAATACAGGAATCACCCTGGCCTTATTAACAAATACAGGAATCACCCTGGCCTTATTAACAAATACAGGAATCACCCTGGCCTTATTAACAAATACAGGAATCACCCTGGCCTTATTAACAAATACAGGAATCACCCTGGCCTTATTAACAAATACAGGAATCACCCTGGCCTTATTAACAAATACAGGAATCACCCTGGCCTTATTAACAAATACAGGAATCACCCTGGCCTTATTAACAAATACAGGAATCACCCTGGCCTTATTAACAAATACAGGAATCACCCTGGCCTTATTAACAAATACAGGAATCACCCTGGCCTTATTAACAAATACAGGAATCACCCTGGCCTTATTAACAAATACAGGAATCACCCTGGCCTTATTAACAAATACAGGAATCACCCTGGCCTTATTAACAAATACAGGAATCACCCTGGCCTTATTAACAAATACAGGAATCACCCTGGCCTTATTAACAAATACAGGAATCACCCTGGCCTTATTAACAAATACAGGAATCACCCTGGCCTTATTAACAAATACAGGAATCACCCTGGCTTTATTAACAAATACAGGAATCACCCTGGCTTTATTAACAAATACAGGAATCACCCTGGCCTTATTAACAAATACCGGAATCACCCTGGCCTTATTAACAAATACAGGAATCACCCTGGCCTTATTAACAAATACAGGAATCATCCTGGCTTTATTAACAAATACAGGAATCACCCTGGCTTTATTAACAAATACAGGAATCGACCCTGGCTTTATTAACAAATACAGGAATCACCCTGGCTTTATTAACAAATACAGGAATCACCCTGGTCTTATTAACAAATAAAGGAATCACCCTGACCTTATTAACAAATACAGGAATCACCCTGGCTTTATTAACAAATACATTACAGGAATCACCCTGGCTTTATTAACAAATACAGGAATCGCCCTGGCCTTATTAACAAATACAGAAATCATCCTGGCTTTATTTACAAATACAGGAATCACCCTGGCTTTATTAACAAATACAGGAATCACCCTGGCTTTATTTACAAATACAGGAATCACCATGGATTTGTGAACAAAATACAGAGCACACTTTCAGAAACACCTGCTTCAAAAGCAAGAGAGTCAGAACAATCTTATGAATGATCTACCTGTCCTGCATTTCAAATTCAATTTAATCAGCAGTGTTTCAATCACAGGTGTTTGAAATTCTGACAGTAAATTGAGATAAAAATCATATAAAAAAAATAAGGGTATTTATTTTTATATATGATTTTTATCTTAATTTACAGTCAGAATTCCAAACACCTGTGCATGGTTCCATATTTGTTGAGCTGCCAGACTGTTTCCCCCATATAGGCAGTGTGTATAAAATTGACAAGTCATAACAGGATTTAGATTACATGTATGGGAAGCTAGAAAAAATGCCTAGTCAGACCACGATGTTAAACATCAATCAGAAACACACGTTACTAGACAGCCATTTAATTATTCTTAAAAATGTACAATAAGTTGAATAGAACTATTTGTGTAACATGTAAAATACTTTATGAATTCTTTCCACACTTCATTTCATCATATGAACTTTTACTCTTGGCAACACTTTAAAACGCATCTGTGAAAAAGTGATAAGATACAGACAGCTATTTCTAAAAAGATTTGTTTCTTACACCATAAACCAAATTGGTAGCAAATACGCAAGGGAAGGGAGACCACTCCCAAAAAATTGTAGACCTAAGTTCAGCGATCAAACTCACACAATGTTGACCAGGTCCCTCCTGTTTGAATGTTGTTGACATCGAAATCATAGGCACGACCGCCTTGCAAGCCCATTGTTCTGGTTCCTGTCCAGCATGAATAGCATTTGTAGCAAAATGTTGAAATGGTTTTAAGTTTTCCATTGCGGCGTGTAGTGCGGTGTGTTCCGTCGAGCAACGCGAGATAGCAAAAGACCTTCACCTTTGAAATGTGATTCTAGTATTAATTTTGAAAATGGATATATAACTGCAAAATAAAATTGAAATATTCCTTAAAATAATTGCAGTGATAATTTAATGACTTTCGTTGGCAAATAGTTTAGAGTCGATAAGTTTTGACAGCAAAACGGTAAATAAACTGCTGAAGAAATACGCAACTAACGTTAATTTTTTGGGGGCGTGCCCGGGTGTGTCGAAATGTAGCTACGTGATTGGATAGTTTCGTTTACATGCTGTCACCAAAAATACATTTGTGAAAATGGTATTGCATCATTTTATTGTATACGAAATCATTTCATATTCCAGCTGTTACCATATTGCATTGAGTTCAAAGGCATTTTAAACAACTGAAGCGTATTTGATATGCTGGAAATTAAGTCTGCCATTTTCGGATCAGTAGCTCGATCTGTCCATAATTAACAGTTAGAGCAGACATATGGCCTTGTAACATATAGATGCATTTGAGATAATGAAAAAAACAACATTTAGCATACAAATAAGTTATAAACCGTTGTAATGCGGAATATCTTAAATGAGGCCGCTTGGCCGTTTTACTTACAGCATATTGCTATGACAGTTTCAGTACACCGATTTAAGTTGGGTTTATTAACCTCTTCTTATTTTACACTATACAAAAGCAACCACATAAACAAGCTATTTCCCCTCTAACTGCAAGCCAGGGAAATAGTTCGTCTGGATGGGTGCGATAGTTTTGAAACTATTTCCCCCGGAAAATGCGGGAAATTGAGTGACGTCGTAGGCGGGGCCTGACTGAATATTGACCAATCAGCGCAATCGAACGACGTCGGCAATTTCCGGCCAGTGGAGCCGGTACTTTGATTTAAACATATTTTATTGCAAATAAATATTTACAAAAGAATTGGACACAAGTTTTACCAACTTATCAAAGTCCTTTTCTTCAAATACATGAGTATAAACAATAACTTGATAAGGTAATTTACGCAATATACATTAATTATGTTTTTATATGGAAATGGAAAATAGAGACGAAGAAAAGAAGGAGAGCGAAACGAAGTAAAGGATAGTAACACAGATAGAGTAGATGAAAAATAGAGTGGAAGAAAAGACGGATAGAGTAATGAAGTAAATGATAGTAACACAGGTAGAGTCGGAGAAAAAAAAGAGTGATAGAGAGAGAAAGATGATCACATTCAGTCAAACCTGTTGCATTTGCTGATATAATTTTGGACAGATTTTGCAATTGAGGTATTTACATTAATGCTGAATTTAGGATCGCCATATAGGAGCAAGTCTAAAGTTAAATCATCACGAACAGGTTGAAGCTCTCTTATTAATAGATTGCGATGCTGGGTGTATAAGGGACAGACACAAAGGAAGTGATAAGAGTCTTCACATGGATTACCGCATGCACATTCAGCTGTATTTGATAAATTTGCTCTAAATAGGTCATAGTTAAGGGAGCTCGCACGATTTCTCAAACGGCAATGAAGTATATTTGATTTACGGGAACCCCATACCAGAAAGCATTTATTTTGTGGTTTACCTTTTGATTTTATATTTGATTTAAATGAACTGAGAGAAGCCGAATTCCTTATAGATATATCTAGGTCATTCCACATTTTTGTAGTTGATGGGAAAAAAGAATTGCGCATTGTTTCAAGCCTAAAGTTTGGTTGTCTTAAATGTTGGGAATTTCTTAGGTTATAACGAGAAATATCCCCAATGCTATCTGGTAAGGTGTCACACAAATAATTAGGAGCTGTACCGTTTTTAATTGTAAAGAATAGGGACAATTTTCTGTTTTTCCTTCTATTACTTAGTGGAACCCAGCCAATTTCATTAAATATATGTTCAATTTTTGTGTAAATAGGTAGTCCTGTAACAATTCGTGCAGCATCTATCTGAATATTTTCAAGTTTTGATGAATTTGTCATTCCACAATTGTCCCAGACTTCACATGCATATTCTAATAATGGTCGAATGTACGTTAAATATAGTTTTTCAAGGTTATTTCTACTGAGTAACCATTTCATTTTACGAAGGGTTGCTATATATTTAGCCACTTTTTTGATAAGTTCGTCTACATGTTTATTCCATTTACCGTCGCTACTTAGTATAACTCCAAGGTGTTTGTGGCTATCTGTTAAAAGGATAGAAGTATCGTTAAAAATAAATTGGGGTTGAAAGGGTAGATTTGTATTAGAAACAATCATGATTTCGGTTTTTTTAGGATTGAAAGACATCAGCCAATTTTTAGACCATTTCTCTAGAGTTTTTAGGTCTTTATTTACTTCACTTACAATATTTTCTAGGTTTGGTGATGAGTATGAAAGCGACGTATCGTCAGCAAAAAGACGAGATAATGAGGAGAGTTCGGTTGAAATGTCGTTAATATAAATCAAGAAGAATAAAGGGCCTAACACTGAACCTTGGGGAACACCGGCGTTTATATTTCTTACAGAAGAATGGGAATCGTGAATAAAGACGGATTGCTTACGCTCAAAAAGATAGTTTGTTATCCAATTAAGAAGACTGCCTGAAATACCATGTTGTTGAAGTTTGTATAAAAGCCCTCTATGCCAAACTCGATCGAAGGCCTTTGAAAAATCACAAAAAGTAAAAGCTATATGTTCATAGTTTTCTAATGCTAACATCATAGAATGGTACATTTCAATGAGTTGATGCGTACAAGAATGATTGGGTAAGAATCCAGACTGAAGTTTGTAAATAAGATAATTAGAGTTAAAAAAGTTGTAAATATGTTTATAGACTACACGTTCAAAAATTTTTCCAACACAGCTTAATAATGATATTGGTCTATAATTCGAAGCATTATGAGCGTCGCCAGACTTAAAGATCGGCATGACGTTTGCTAATTTCCATTTATCGGGATATATACCATTGTTTAAGGAGTGATTAAAAATGAGGGAAAGGGGAATGGCAATTTCATTTGCTACAAGTTTTAACATTCGATGACTGATTCCGTCAGGCCCTGTTGCCTTATTTACATCTAGTATGTTAATAATATCAACTATTTCAGAAGGTATAATATGAATTTCGGACAAAAGAGAGTCTGTTCGTTTTTCTAAAATGGGAATAGGTTTGTTTTGGTCTACTTCGGAATGACTGGATACTGAAGAAAAATAGTTATTAAGAAGTTCACATTTATGGTTATTATCATTCGTGAATTCGTTAGCATTGTCATCAAAAAGTGGTGATATATCAGTAGTTTTGCTTCCTTTCAGTACAAACCTTAACAATTTCCAATATGTTTTGGGGTTAGATTTATTTTTGACTATGATAGAGTCGATATTTTCGTAGAAAAGTTCTTTTGCTCGTTTTATCATATTATTTGTTTTATTTCTTGATTGTTTAAATTTCGTCCTATTAAAATCATTATTATTATTTATAAGTATCTTTTTTAATCGATTTCTATTACGTATTTGTCTTCTGACAATATTATTGATCCAGGGTTTGTCATGTTGTCTAATCTGCACATATTTAGATGGTATGCATATATCTACAGCGTTAAGTATAGTGGTTGTCAGAAAATCACACATGTCATTAACGTCATTAAACATATTAAATTGGTTTACCCATGATATATTTGTGATAAAATGTTTAAGCTTTTCGATGTCTGTTTTGTCATATAGCCATACCTTTCGTTTGAAAACTGTTTGGGTTTGTTTCGGTACTTCAATTATTGTAAAAACAGCATTGTGGTCACTTATATTGTCGTCTATATTAATAACTTCACTGAAAAAAGTGTTGATTGTGTTACTGATAATTACTGGATCTAATAATGTTGCTGAATGGTCCGTTATTCTGGTAGGTTCGGTTATAATATTTGACATCTGGTACAAAGTGAGAAGGTCGAATAATTCATCTCTGGAGGATTTTAAAAAGTCAACATTTAGATCGCCCATCAAAATAACATTATCTGTAATATCGAATGCCAGGTCGAGGGAATGTTTTAGTCTCTGCCATATACCGTCAGAATAATTTAGATTAGGTGGTCTGTATAGATTTCCTATTATATGTGTAATATTATTTGAATAAACTTGTACCCATATTACTTCGTCATTAGCAAATTCTAACTCAAGTTTTCTTTTAACTACGAGAGATGGAGAATAGTATAACAATACACCCCCTCCGAACATATTCCTATCTTTTCTAAACGGTTTGTCACTAAAGCCCTGTAGCGTAATTTCTTCATTAGTAATAGAAGGATCCAAATGAGTTTCGGTTATACAAAGAATGTCGACATCGTCGGTCAATGCGTCAATGTAGCCTATTTTGTTTCGTATACTTCTAATGTTAAGATGCATAAGATTCAGTGAATGGGTTGCCGTCATATTACTAGAGTTTGGACCAGGGTTGGAATGGATATCTCCTGATGTCAGAAGAAGAAGATGGATTATCATAGGAAAGAATATGTTTACATTATTGATATAGGATTGTTGTAAAAACAAATATGATGTAAATAACCAACATTTGGCATTGACTTCAAAAATATTTAGAAAATCAGCAGGGTATGTTTTGTAAGTGTATGTTATTAAAATGTTTGCAACTTTACAGTGAAAACAGCCTATGGCAGCTCTCCACGCACCAACATCATTACCTACTAAGGAGGGTATAGATCAGATTTTGGGGGCGCGAGAAGAGCTTTCATATACGGGCAGTTTAATACAAAGCAGTTGGGGATGACTGGATGTGAGATTAGAAAAGAGAAGGGAAATGGGGTATACAAAGCAGCGGATGAGGGTAGGTAGGGAAAGCAAAAAGAAAGAAAAATGAGAAACGTTTGAATAGATATTGGGTACGTTATCTTCATTGGGAAGATGAAGTACATGTGGTGATTCCCAAATATCAGCAGATAGGTTTTGCTATGAGAATGATCTATAGGCGTGGATCGGGGTGATTTTAACAGTACTATAGTGTACATATAACAGGTTGAAATGCTTAGATAACTGGGTTTTGGAACAATTGACTTCTATTAACAGGTCTAGTATTTA